TCTTTCTTTCTGTCTTTCTTTCTGTCTTTCTTTCTGTCTGTCTTTCTGTCTGTCTTTCTGTCTGTCTTTCTGTCTGTCTTTCTGTCTGTCTTTCTGTCTGTCTTTCACATTTTGCGTTTTAGTCTGTAGCCTTATCTGTTTCCTGACAGCTTACACCTTCATCAGGTAGCTTTGGCAGGGTGGAAAGGGGTGAGCTATAGTCTAATTTTAACTACCAAAAACACAATCTGCTGAAGCATGTTGATGACTGCAGGTTCAGGTATGTAACTCCTGCTGTTTTAAGCACTGCAATTTGTTTACCATACTCTGTCGCAATAATGATTTGTTTGTAAATGAGAAAGAGAAAAACAGGACTCAAAAATATTACAGCAATTGCCCCTAGAGATTTCCTTTTGCACTTGTTCAATGCTTTCAATGGAAACCTAAATGGAAATTTTAAATGGGAATTTTATCTTCATATAGAGATCTTTGAGAGAACTGCAGCATTTTATCGCACAAATATATAGGCCTTATAGTGTTATATAGGCTGAAAGTGTTTAAAAATGGGCAAAAAAAACCCCATTGTGAAGTTGCTGTTTAATCCACTATGGCTCACTTGAAGCAGTTTCCAAAGAAAGTCACCTTAAATATTCCGAAATTAAAGAAAGCATTTAAATCAGTTACTGAGAAGGAAGGGTTCAAGTACCTCTCTTGAGAATAGTTACATTACATTGTCATAATTAAATTATTAATTAAATCTGTCCACAGTCTTGCCACTACTAGTTCAGTTAGCATTGAGTATCAGGCTTTTTCTTGTGCAAAATGAGCCACTGATAATCCTGTAGCTGCCTCCTTCTCTTGTAAAATGCAAATAGATTGTATAGCCTAGGCTCACATGTTCAGGGAACTTGTGAGACATTATTGTCCTCTGCCTCTTAATTGCTTCCAGTGGTCTTTTAATTAGGGATGAGTATGGAGAATACTACCAGACCAGTCATTAGAGAGTTTGGTTTGATTGTTGTTGTTGTGGTGGTGATGGTGGGGGTGATGGTTTTTTACTTTGTTGTGGTTTGTTTTGTTTGTTGGTTTGGTTTGGTTTTTTTTAAATTCATGGAGAACTTGAGCCCCTCAGGCAGGCTTCTCATTTCCTTTCAGGTTTCATTGGATGTAACCATTAGAGAAGCAGAGTCTGAAGCTATAACAGTCATCTGTAAAAGAACCAGTGCTCCAATATTTGAGGTGATGAAAGATGTGTGACTCTACTGGCAATTCTTCAATTCAATGACCTGGGACAGGTAATCCAGAAAAAGGAAGAGGTCTGGTCTCCAGTAATGGTGTCTTCTTTTGTGTTGGGCTTATTTAGTAGCCTGCAGCCATAGTCCAATACTCTCTAACTAAGTTCTCATAGACGTATTCAGGACTTTGATTTAGCAGAATGTTACAGCAATATACTGGAATTGCAGCACAATCCTAATATAGCAGCTGCAGTATCGACACAATCACAATTCAAATATACTGTTGTCCTGGTTTAGACCAAATTTGGGAGGGACCCCTTTGGAGGAAGTTTCCTCCAAAATTTGCCCTAAACCAGGACAATACTGTTCAAATTCCCATTACTGGTCTCTAAATGCTTGCTGTCATGACATTGTGTCCTCACAATTACTGAGAAGAAATATGCAGGTTACACCCAGCTCATGCCAGTTACTGTCTTCCAAGTTGATTTTTTGAGTTGTCTATTTTCTATACTTTATATTGGGCTGAGTCATATACACACTACCCTCCCACGCTGGCCTGGTTAGCTCAGGAAAAAAATTCTCTTGACTAATTATTTCAGGGAAGGCTGTTTATTCAGTCTTAGGACTGAATGATGCAGCTGTATTCCTAAAACAAAGTTTTCCATCCAGTACCTCTTGTGCTGAGATAATTTCATCTTTCTTTACGATAGTTCATTGTTTTTCCTTATATTCTTCCTTCAACACATCATTCTTGTGCATATCCTCTGGGTATTCCTCCATTGCAGGGGTCAGTCACCCGTTCTCATACTTTTCAGGAATCTCACACATGTATTTTGCAGAAAAATTTAATTTTTTTGTCATCAGAAAGGAAGAAATTTTTAGGGGTGATATCTCTTCTATATTAAGAGGAAGGGATCTTGTTCTTGGCTTAAGAAATCCCAAGACTTCCACCTGTACTTACAGGTTTGTGATAATAATCATAGCTGCTTGCTCTGAGAGAAGGAAGCTTTGGATGTCTGCTTTCATAGCTCAGTCCAAATTTCTTGCCCTTTTTTAGTGTGGTTTGTTGTTTTTTTTCTTCTTTATTTTGTATTGATAGGATCAGACTCTTCATTCATCATTTCAGGGATGCTGATGCTGCTGGGTCCAGAGGAATACTGCCTGCATATAAAGAAAATCTAAAGGAAGAGTTTATTCCCAATGGAGTAACTGGTTGTGAACCATCAAGGTGGAGTCTTAAAGCTTTCACAGGAAGTTGTGTGAATTCAGGACACATAAAATAGCCTTACTGATAAATGTTTCAATTTCTAATTATTTTATGCTTCATCAATCAGGCTTGTCTCAAGCTGATACAATATTATATCAAATGATTTTTTGGTGGTGGCTTTAATCTGAGGAATTCTAGGAATTGCTGTCAGAAGAATTTTGATGGTATTATGTCAAGGGACTGAAAAAGAATTTATTTAACAATAACCTCAACTCCTGTTGTATGTGTAGAGTTTCAGTTCTTTTCTCATTTTTTTTTCTTTCAGACAGGGAAATATCTTTACTATTTTTTTTTTTTTTTTTAATGACAAGGAACTGAAATTGCTCATAGTTTGCTTATATGTTCAGCATAGTGAGGAACTGGGCAGGTTCCTTAGTACAGATACAGCATGGAAATCTCTTGGTTGTGTATAATATAAAACACTATTTCCCCAAGTGAATGCTCATGTATCTGTTTCAGCTTAAAGAGCTCAGAAAGTTTGGAAATTATTTATTTTAAATATAGGCATCCACAAACCACAGTTATAGGATCAGTGGAATTCTGTTTCTTTGGTACTGTCATCAGCTGACAAAGATTTCCTCATGCTAAATCTTCATATAAGTATCAAAAATTTGAATAGATATGTAATAAATTTTATACTTAAATGTTCAAGCAAGCTTATCATAACATTACTCAACCTAATAGTATCACTATGGTGATAACC